AAAGTCACTCATTGGAATTCTGCAGGTAATTTTCCTCTAATTTAGCTAATAATGAATTAATTATGGACATATGAGACAAACAGGTGTTTTTGCAAGTCATTAGTCATATAACTATTAGCATTTTCATTTTCAGAAATGAAAATAAGGGAACCCATCTTTAAGCTTACATGTGTTGTATCTTGTGAAAAAAATATGCACATACCACTAATAAATCTTGTACATATCAATAAATCTGTATTATCACATTCACATGCCCAATAATGTTGTACAATATAAGGTGAAATAAATTTTCTTATTTGTTTGTACACACTCAACTGTTGATGATAATCATTTAAATTGGTCTGCAATAAAAATATAATCAGTCAAATATTAAAAATATCATATATTGACAATATTGAGTCTCTCATGATTATAATATTGCCTTGAAATAGTACTGCAAAAACTATAACAATCCTTCCAAAATTACAAATTGTTTTCATGTCTTATATCAAGTAGTTGCCAAGCAAGATACACCCACTTTCCTCATACATTTTCAGTATATCAAGGGCGGTCACCAATCTGTGTCAAATCATACCAGAAATCTAATTTGTGCAAGATATTGTTGATTTAAGCAAACACACATTATAATAAAATTCTGACATAAACTGTCACTGTTCATCTAAAGATTATCACATTCAAACTTGTCCAAGATCTCATTACTATAACTGATCAAACCAAATTTCATTTAAATTGGATGAAAACTGTAGTCTGTATTGTTTTCACAAACAAATTTTGACGTGTTTTTCATAAGTCAAGGGCAATAACTCAAAACTGTTCATTGAAAGATAGCTAAATTCAAATTTGTCCAAGCTCTTATCATTATAAATATTCACACCAAATTTCATTTAAATTGGATGAAAACTGTAGTCTCTATTGTGTTCACAACCAAATTTTGACGAGTTTTTCATAAGACAAGGGCAATAACTCAAAACCCATTCATCGAAAGATCGTCAATTTCGAACATGTCCAAGATCTCATTACTATAAATGATCACACCAAATTTCATTCAAATCAGATAAAAACTGTTGTCTCTATTGCATTTACAAACCAAATGTGGATGGACGGACAGGGGCAACAATAATATACGACCACATTATAATGTGTAATAAATAATAAAAACTTGACATCAAATACCATCCTTTAATACCCAACGTTTCGTCAAAAAAGTTTTGACTTCATCAGGGGAAGAAAAAACCTACAAATGTTTGTTTCTTCCCCTGATGAAGTCAAAACTTTTTTGACGAAATGTTGGGTATTAAAGGATGGTATTTGATGTCAAGTTTTTATTATTTATTACACCAAGTTCAGTATACATCAAATGAATCACTGTACTACTAGTGGTATTGGTGATCCCATCAAAAAGTCTTCTGTGATTCGTTATTGCTGCCTGTTTTTTCTTTTTGGAATCACCACATTATGATGTGCGCATATAAAAAGTCTTTGTTATATTACCTTTTTGATCACCAATCTCGTGTCTGTCTTCCTCAAGCTTTCAGCAATAATAACATTTTTCTTTTTATTTAAAGCCATTAATGATAACCAATCTATGCCTTCTTTATAACCATACTTGTATCCTGCACAAATCTGAAGAATACAATAAACTGTATTGTCTCTAATGCTAGGTTTCCACGATAATGTTATCAGATGTAATCAGTTGCGCTTTGATTTAAAATTGTTTAGATTATGAGATCTTTTCACAACCAATATGTATATTATGTTCTTCGCCAAATCCTTATCAAATTCACTTATGTATATTGTATTCCATATCTATGTTTGGAATGAAGTTAATGCCCCCACCTGAGTATATTCTGTCAACTCTTTACAGCCTGTTAATGTACTTTCATAATCACTTAATACAGTAACAGCATGTTTTATACTCCATTCTTTCCTACAATAAATTAAATCTATGTTTTAAATTGAGTATTTATTTATTTTGGAATGGTTTTTAACTTCCAAAAATGTAGGTTTTTTTAACGAAAAATCCCTCAAATTTCAAACCTTTACATCTGAGATCAAAATGTGGAGCTGGTCCTGTGACTATCAATTAAAGGAGCAGTATACCTAATGAGCACTAATCTAATCTTAATCTTACTAAAACAGTACTGCCCAGTAACTATCAAGAAAACACTTACACTGTATTGAGAACATTACAGCATATCACTTGCTCAGTAACTATCAAGAAAACACTTACACAGTATTGAGAACATTACTGCATATCACTTGCTCAGTAACTATCAAGAAAACATTTACACTGTATTGAGAACATTACAGCATATCACATGCCCAGTAACTATCAAGAAAACACATACACAGTATTGAGAACATTACTGCATATCACTTGCTCAGTAACTATCAAGAAAACACTTACACAGTATAGAGATCATTACAGCATATCACTTGCTTAGTGACTATCAATAAACACTTACACAGTATGGAGAACATTACAGCATATCACTTGCTTAGTGACTATCAATAAACACTTACACAGTATTGAGAACATTACACCATCTCACTTGCTAAGTAACTATCAAGAAAACACTTACCACTGTATTGAGAACATTACACCATATCACATACCCAGTAACTATCAAGAAAACACTTACACAGTATTGAGAACATTACTGCATATCACTTGCTCAGTAACTATCAAGAAAACACTTACACAGTACAGAGAACATTACAGCATATCACTTGCTTAGTGACTATCAATAAACACTTACACAGTATTGAGATCATAACAGCATATCATTTGCCTAGTGACTATCAATAAAATACTTACACAGTATTAAGAACATAACAGTATATTACTTGCCTAGTGACTATCAAGAAAACGCTTACACAGTATTAAGAACATAACAACATATTACTTGCCCAGTAACTATCAATAAAACACTTACACAGTACTGAGAACATTACTGCATATCACTTGCCCAGTAACTATCAAGAAAACACTTACACAGTATTGAGAGCATAACTTCATATCACTTTCTTAGTGACTATAAAGAAAAACCTTACACAGTATTGAGAACATAACTGCATATCACTTGCTTAGTGACTATCAATAAACACTTACACAGTATTGAGAACATAACAGCATATCATTTGCCTAGTAACTATCAAGAAAACGCTTACACAGTATTGAGAACATAACAGCATATCACTTGCCCAGTACTATCAATAAAATACTTACACAGTATTGAGAACATTACATCATATCAATTGCCCAGTGTCTATCAATAAAATACCTCCACAGTATTGAGAACATTACAACATATTACTTGCCCAGTGTCTATCAATAAAATACTTACACAGTATTGAGAACATTACACCATGTTACTTGCCCAGTAACTATCAATAAAATACTTACACAAAATTGAGAACATTACACCATGTTACTTGCCCAGTGACTATCAATAAAATGCTTACATAGTATTATACTTACACAGTATTGAGAACATTTCACCGTGTTACTTGCCCAGTAACTATCAATAAAATACTTACACAGTATTGAGAACATAACAGCATATTACTTGCATAGTAACTATCAAGAAAACGCTTACACAGTATTGAGAACATTACACCATATCACTTGCCCAGTGTCTATCAATAAAATACTTACACAGGATTGAGAACATTACACCATGTTACTTGCCCAGTAACTATCAATAAAATACTTACACAAAATTGAGAACATTACACCATGTTACTTGCCCAGTGACTATCAATAAAATACTTACACAGTATTAAGAACATAACAACATATTACTTGCCCAGTAACTATCAATAAAACACTTACACAGTATTGAGAACATTACTGCATATCACTTGCTTAGTGACTATCAATAAAATGCTTACACAGTATTATACTTACACAGTATTGAAAACATAACAACATATTACTTGCTCAATAACTATCAATAAAATACTTACACAGTATTGAGAACATTACACCATGGAACAGGACAGATATCTTGTTTACATTGTAGACTATGTTTTGTTAAAGCATGTAATATCTGACATGTAAATATTGAAGTTGGTATAAGCTGATTGTCAATACATGATCTTAACTCTTCTATAGCACTTTGTATCTAAACAATATAGGACATAATAATACAAATGATAAGGCAATCAATAGGAATAATACAAAAAATAAATAATTTATAATCAATGAAGGACATAATAAATAATATATAATATAAACACTAAATAGAGCAAAAAACAGCCTCTTTGGGTTTTGCTATACCACAATTTGACACTGTCGTACCGTACATGACTGCAGTAAAAGTCTTGTAAGATTACAATGGAGGAAGATAGTACCAACAGTATTCAATTAATGTGTAACATGTAATTAACATATGTATTGCGTATAAATAAGATAACACATGCCTGTAATGATAGAGCTTACCTCATTACAGGTTTTGTCACAACATAAAGTCTTATTATAACAATTACAATATTTCTCTATAGTGTCTGGTAAGCTAGGGTCATGTAAATATTCTCTTTTATCAATCATATCCAATGACTTAGGCTGAAATATCTAGATGGTACAGTTATTACACTTAAAAACACATAAGATATTTCTACATGTATTGTGCTGACTTTTTTTTAGCCTAAGCCTCTCTGAAAAATTTATAAAATTTGCTATTTCAAGGAAGAGAAATGCCAATGAATGTTCGTTAGGCTGCGTTAGTACTATTAGGGCCTACTTTCAGCATACTTGATAACAAACTTTTTTCATACTGAATATACATTATTTCAAATAATTAAAAACATTACCTGTGGTAAGGCTGGTATATGCAGATCATTATTACGCTTTGAACAGGTATTAACATTATCTGCAAATAAAATTACAATTTTCACCTGAATTATTTCTGTGCTTTAAATAAACTGTTGATTTGAAATGTTCTTTGAGATGATCAATGATCATCATAGGGAAATTAAAATAACTATGAAAATCTTACCATGAGGAGATGGTGTTGTACTTTCAGAAAATGAGAAGATCTTTTCAACTGAGACTTTATTTGACAGCATCTGTCTCTCAAATTCTCCATGATAAAGCTCCTTTTTTAACTTCCCTTCTTCTCTCCTATTATCTAGTACAGATGGCTGATTTAATTTATTTTCAGTAACAGATTCATTCTTCTCTTCTGTTAACTTGTCATAACAAAACTGTGATAAAGGAGACACAGATTCTGTTGATTGAGGTGTTCGGGAAGTTGGTGCTAAACCAGTATCATAGCTTTTGAGTTGGTTGAAAATCTCTTCATTGATATATACACTTCCATTACTTGTACTATTGAAAACAAACAGACTTATAGTTGGTATGCCATCAGAGATTGGTTTAGTTGAAACTTCATTATTACCAGTCAATGGCAGACCCTTGTCAACACTTTGGGTTATGACATCTTGACTCTTCTCACTACTAGTTACAACATCTACACTATAATCAGATTCATTCGAGCCGCCTGTCCAATATCCACATGATGATGATTTCTTCCTACGTAGTTGCTGCCTTAGTTCTTTTCCATGGTCAGAAATATTTTTGTGAGATTCGTCAACAAATGAAACAGACTTTGGTCTTGGTTTATATACAGGTCCTTCGATTTCAAGTTTCTTCTCTTCCTTTAGGTCACCTTGACACAGAATGTCTGGAGAGGAAGGGAATTCATAAAAAACAGGACTGGTACTAGGAACAACATCCGGTAAACTTAAACTACGCTGAACAACTAGTCGCTTTCTAGCTTTTTTATCATTGGCTTCCTCTATTGAAAATATGTCTCTGGACTTTGAAAATCTTTTCCGTTTATGCTCCACAATATCAAAAACATTGGAAGTCGAAACAGGTCTTCTTTGAACATAAGCCTCATCAGATGTGGTATATTGTTGTGCAAAACCCTCCATAATGTTTACATTTTGTTATGCAAACCATAAGAATGTTGAACAATAAATGCTGAAATAACAATCTCCATTCATTCCTAAAATAAAAAAAATTTGAAGAATAACTACGGGTATTTGTTTATTTATGATATTCAAGATAGCCAAAAGTTATATGTCCAGTAGAGTGAGTATGAGACATTGCATGCTCAATTATTTTGTGGATTGGAGAATATGACAAAACGTAGCAATATTTATTTATAAGGGCTGATATATAGTCAACAGAGGTTGTCTGATTATAATGGGAATGCAGACTTTATGGATGGACAGACAAAATTCTCCCCCACACTGCACTCAGATGTGAAACCTACAAATTCATTTGAACATTTCTTCATCAAAAGGAAATCATTTTGTTAAAAGATGATGAGAGTTAAGGCCCAATTTCAGTGTGGCTGTTTTTCTGATCAGAGCAGGGTTTTATAACTGATAAAAACTTAATGATAATTGGGAACTTAACTCTGTACTCCAGTGTCTTAGCCTTGAGACTTTATAACTAATTGCAAAACATATTTCACACCACAAACAAAAATGGCTGAATATTCATTTTAAATAATGATATCATCAATAACAATAGGCCTATAATTATAAAGTTCAGATCTAAAATAATTCATCATCTTAAATGTCTGACAATAGTTTTACCAACCCTGTTACTGTCAGACAGCATCAGCTCTCACTGTCAATCATTCTCATAGCACAAGCAGCTCAGATGAAGTGTGGTTGTTGTGGTTAATAACTTCCTTATTAAAACTAAATGGTGTCATCAGCATCAATTCACCTAGATTTCAATCAACTTCACACAGGGTTCGAAGCTAGAGACAAAAATTCCATAAAAAGAAATGACTCATTCGACTTCGAAATGTTACTTTTCTCTACCTTGTATTTAACTTTCAATTCAGTAGCATCAAGACATGTAGGTTGGGCTATTGGATTGGTACTTACCCATGAAATAGGCTATCATAATATCTTGTCACACAAGTCTTGTGCCGTGGTCAAGTATACACGAATGTCATTGCCCTCCAAGCATATTTTTTCTTATATCTGTGTCGGAAACTTAACTTGCCATGGTTAATCTATCTTCTGTAATATTCTTGAATATCGATAGTATTTCTTGGAATTGTAATAGGGGAGATAATGGGATAGTCATGCTTATTAATATTATTTTATAGTGTAGTAGTGGGTGACTGAGTTGGCCATTCTATGCGCAGTCAATATTTCACTTCAAGTGGCTAATGCTCTGCAGTTCATGAAAAGTTATCCACAGCAGTAAAGTGCAAGGTAAGGCCAAGGGTTTATTACAATGCAATATTAACTTCAACTTCAATAGAACAATCATTGTACTCCTAGGTACTGGTTACGTTTTAGTCGTAGTGAAAAGTTATTATTGGTTACCTATTGATAAAGGGAGCCTACTCTGCAATGTATCTCTTTGTCCAATGAAATTTGCTGGTTAAATGTAAACGCGGATTTACAAAATAATTTTTTGTTTACAAGAATAATTTAAACTTACTTTATCTTGTGCAAAAAATATCAATGTAAGAACTAAACGGCCTTCATACCCACTTCAAATGCTAATCCTGTTTTCCGTTATGTATTGTAATAGGCTTAAATCTACCATTTTTTTGGAATACAAAAATTTGAGAGTCAACAGAGAGTTAAACATCTTCTGTCTGAGTTTACATTGCATTAAGCTCTGAATTACTTCTCTCATTTTATAAATATTCAAAATGAAATTTTCAATCGTACGCCATTTGTCATAGAATGCCTTCGGATCCATAGAATATGAGGTTCAGTGATTTTACATTTAAAAAAGAAATACTTCTGTCCCAGGAAATCCATGTGAAAATGACCCACTTTCCAATTTCCCTCTGTAAAATCATTTTTATGATTACAGTCAAGTAACCTAATTTCGTGCTAACCTATTTTTCGTGCATTTCCGGAAATGATTAATAATTTACATGTGCAACCTCGCATGACCTCCGCATTTCATTGCTTGTTTTGATAAACATGGGTTTTCTGTACAATATCAGCCAAATTTTTCACCATTTTTTATCAGTCAAATTTCCTCATAATCCCAAGTGGTAATTGGAATTCCATGTGTCATCTGCTAGAATGTAGTACAACGAATGAAGTCACGTGATTAACTAGCGGATTCCGTGTCAGCAGACAATTTCAATGGAACACAAAGTAGGCCATATTCTTATGTTGTTTCAGTGACTTTTAGCAATAAATCATGCTATGTATCTTGATTTATCACCTGGTATCCATACAACGTGTTTTTCTAGACATATTTATAGATCAAACATTGTACACGAAAATAGGTGATGCATTCTGCCGCCGTCGTCGAGTTGGTTGCTCATGAAATATGGGTCAAAGTGAAGGATTCATTAAGAAAATCGAAAGAAACCAATTTTAATTATTTTGTAGAATATTCGAGGAAACATCGTTTTTTTAACTGTGACGAAATGCGGTGTTGATTCGTTATATCCACGAAAATAGGTTACACCACTGTATATTTTTTTCCGTGGTTATCATTTTCATCAACCCAAAGACAATCTAAGACTCTCACTAGTATTTTATAGTTGGTATTTCAATTCATAGGAAAATGATAGTCAAATTTCAATTCAGAAAACTGTGTAGTCAGAGAGTAGTGTAATCATTTTGAGTTCAGCTAAATGTCTGAAGTCAGAAGTATGAAGTATCGACTCAGGACTATTGTCATCTTCTAACTCAAAATGTTTCAATACTTTTAAGCAAAATTTGAAAAAGTTGGATCAAAACAAAAGTCTTTAAGCTTATGCTTAAACTACACGCTGTTAAGGGCCATTATTGACTTGTTTACCAAACAAGGTTTGAATTAATATTGTCTGTAATTCTTACTCGTGCACTCAGGCAGAGTCTCAGTCCCACTGCTTGCAAACGTAAATGACCAACATATTGTCCATCAAGTTAATCAATCAAACTTAATGAGTCTCACAAGCTTTTCACTCTTAATGGACCAAGAATTGAATTCTTTCTCTCATGCCAAAGACTATTATATTCAAACACAAATACACACAAATTTCAATCACATACCATTGCTTTAAAATGTCTTCATGCAAGATTTGATGATTTTACATTTGAAATAGATGCACCTTTTCAAATATTTTCATTGAAAAAATTTGCATTGAATTGACTAATGATCAATGGGCAAATCACACCGAAACGTTGCAGAAAACTTTAACCAGTGATTGTTGTTCCATAAAGCTGTGTCTATATATGACTCGTGTTTTGTTTTGTGTTTTAATAAATATTCAATATATATTTATACGTATTAATAAAGCTAATAAGCTTAATAATTAATTACTTCTGATTTATTCTGTCAGTTTTCAGTAGCAGTTGATACTTTCTATCTATGTACTATTTGGTTAAATAAGCTTATAGATTAATAACAAACACTTTACAACATTCTAGATAAAAGTAATACCAGTTATCAGTACCAGTAGAAGAATTCTATTATTTTTAACAGTACACATAGATATGTGAAAGAATGTCATCTTTGGCAGCTCTGAAGGAAAAGCTGGCGAAAAAATCAACTAGAAATCTTTCAGATAATGATCTAAGTAATCAAGATGTGATAGGTAACTTTGATATATTAAATTGTAGAATGAAAACGGTTTCCAGATAATTATTTACTTTTGCAAGGAATGTGTCATTTATAGGTCAAAGTTTGATTTCTACTTGCCATCTTCACATATCAAGATATTACAAACTTAAATTTGACATTGTAAATTTGATAATTTTGTTTCATTTTATATGTTTTTCATGATTGTATGTGCCAAACTTCTATTACATGAAATCTATAAGATATTAACCTTTAAGCTTGTTTCCTTTGACCTGTGTTAGTTTTGAAGTTGACATTGAATTTATCAAATTGTTTATGATTTATTTAGATCAAGAAAACTGGGAGAAGCGTCTACAAGAAGATGGTTTAAAGCCTGATGTATGGTTAGAATACATAAAGGAGTTGAACCAGAAAAGCTATTCCAATGAATTTACTAAATATGATAAATTATGCAATACTTATGAACATGCATTCAAGGTATATGTCATATCTTATATAATGCAGTCTCGTGTTCTTTCTTGTTTTCTTTTACGCATGCCATCCTTGAACTGATGAAATTGTGTCTTATGTCCTGGGTCATTCAAATGCTCTGGTGATTTGGATTTCTGGGATACTCATTGTCAGTCTACCAGTGTTTTTGTTAGTAATTAGCATAGAGAACAAGCATGATATGAGTCACAGAACACAAATTATGGGATATTTTTTTGTATCATGAACGGTGCTTGAAGTAAAGATTTTATTAATTGTGGGACTTTGCTACTGCAATGTCGAAATGTCAATTCTTTTTTTTTTTTTTTTTTCCATTTTTACACACCTTCCTGAGCTTAGACTACAATAGTTGCAGTAACCATTCAACATTCACGAACCTTAGATATAGGCGACGATCTGCATAAATATATCTTGGATCTTTTTTGCAAAACCGGAAGTGCCACAGTTCAATATGTGCAAGAATAGATAATCGGCTCTAGAAGTTGTATTTTTCGGTCGATTTTCTTTGGGTTTGCATTTTTGGAATCTACTGTTAAAATCTGAAAGAATAGCAGTTTCAAAATTTCAAAATTCGAAAATTTGTCGCAGACATTTTTTTTGCCAAATTTTGCTCTTTTTTTCATTTTTTTGGCTCTTTGTCTGATTAATCTGAAAAAAATTGAGCAAAGACAGTTTAAGAATGTAAACAAAATGGTACAGTCAAATTTTCAATTTCACTTCCAGTTTAAACAGGAAAACGATGTTCACTTCCGGTTGAATATCTTCCGGTGTAATTTGTATAGGACAAAAAATTTTATGCTGATAGGTAGACAAAGTTATGACAAAAAAACGAAGAAAAAAAAATCCGGAACAGACGTGCAACTTTGGCCGCCATTTTGATTTTTCTGAAATGATTAGATTTTTATTCAGACATAATGGCTCATCCGATTTAAATGATTTTGGTGTCAAATGAAAGAAGATAAAAAAAAAAATGACATTAGGAAGCCGTTTTTCGATTCTCAATTTTGCTTTTTTGCAACATCCGGTTGAATTTTTTCAAAGTTTGAAGGGTCATATCTCGTGATCTTGAACTCTGATGACCTGACCTTCATACGGTCAAAGGTCATTGACCTTAACTATCAGTTAATACTTTGACATTTGACCTCCGACATATACTTCCGGTTTTATAGCTGTCCGAAAACAGCCAAATTCGCAACTTTGGACTGCTCTAGCACGTAACCTAATTAACCTAGAGGATTAATTTTTCATGCTCTTTCAAGTGATTTATAACAATCGTTTTTAAAAGCAAAATTGAAATTCGTGAATTTTTCAAATTTGAGTTTTTTTTTTACAATATTTCTGTTTCTTTGAGCTTGGTATGTATATATCTTTTGACCTATTTTATGTAGAACATTGAAACTTGGAACACAACAAGACAATATGAATATAAATTGCCCTATGACAAAAAAGTTGAGGTGCGCGTGGCACATCCGGGTTGAATTACTAATTGTTTACATTTTGGGAAAGGGGCATAACTCGCATAGGATACATTTGTTCAAAAAGGAATTTTGCACACAATTACCTCATTATTTTGGCCAGTTTGTGTTAATAGGTCAATTGTTTCAGCTTTATAGTTCCAAAAAAGGAACGGGTTTTGACATTTTCAATTTTCTATTTTGACCTTTATTGACTCTTGTTGACCTATATCTTTTGACCTGTATGATGTAGAAGCTTTAAATTTGGAACACAACATAACATTCAGAATATCAATTAACCTATGCAAAAGAAATTGAGGTGGGCGTAGCACATCCGGGTTAAATTACTCATTATTGACAATTTTGACAAGGGACATAACTCGCAACGTATACATTTGTTCAAAATGGAACTTTGCATACAATTACTTCATCCGTTGAGCCACGTTGTCTTAGAAGTTCGATTGTTTCAGCTTTATAGTTCAAAAAAAGGAACAGGTTTTGAAAATTCAAAATTTTCAATTTTTAACCTTGACCTTTTTTGACCCTGATTTTTGTAGGATCAAAGGTCATTCACATTGGCTATCTATTTATACTTTTATATTTGCTGTCCTATCTCAACTTCCGGTTTTATAGCCGTATATATTTAAAAATTTTGATAACTTGTATCTTGTAACCTTGACCTTTGTTGACCGACTCCCTTTCAATGTCAAATGTCATTGACCTTGGCTATCTTCTGATACTTTCATTTGTGAGGTCTGTCTACTTCCGTTATAACAATCTTCCAAAGAATTCTTTTCAACTTTAGACTGCTCTTGCTCGTAGAAGGTTGATTTTTTTCAGAGTCTTTTGCATTTTGCTACATTTGCAAAGTCTCACTCTGTGCCACGTGTGGCTCTAGTATTGTTTTGAAGTAGTTATTTATTAATTTATTGTTAATATGAATGACATTGTTTTGTACTATTACAGTTGATTTCTTCTGACACCAATAAGAAAAATGGTTCATACGCTCGACTCTGGTTGAATTATGCCAGATTAAAAGGGTATTACATCTTTTTAACGTCATCAGTCGAATAACACAAATATTGTTTTAAAATTACTCACATCAAAATTAATTTTGATTGATTTGAAAATTAACTATCTAATACTTTCAAATGACTTATTGAACTTGATGGAACCATTATTAAGAATTCTGAGGGAATGGATGAGAATTTCAATAAATGTTCACTTGAGCTAAGCATGTTATATTTGCACAGTGGATGAGATTTATTCAAGTTATTTTGAAAATCATGTTTTCATTATTTCTATTATATCATTTAGTGAATTTAATCCAGAAGAAGCTGAAAGTATTCTAGATAGTGCTAAGTGTTTTGTTAGACGATTTGCTGTTGTCCATGTAGCTTGTGCTGAATTTGAAGTCAAACAAGGTTTGTGAATTGCTTAACTTTAAGATCTAGCTTAAATCTGCAAATTGTTTTACATAAATAATAGTTGAAAATGGTTTATCTCATTTTAGTAAGTGGTAATTATACTGTGTCTTAATGTCAAAATGTTTTACATATATATATACACCAGAGGCCAAAGTTTCTGGTACCATTTGATGTCACATGATATTCACATCATACGCTTTGAGTCATAACACTTGGAGAAGTTAGACTTTATGGTATATGATGTTTTATTTCATTCACACTCAGTGTTCATAAATGTTCTGTGTTAAAAACAATGTGTTCGAAAGCTTGAGCTGAACTATCCTCAGATCTTGTCATATTATTCAATTATAAAATAGTAATTTTGAAGGTAGTTTGAATATTTTTTGTAGGAAATGAAAATAAAGCTAAAAGATTATTACACAAAGCAACATTATATGATGCTAAACCTAAAGAGTTGATTAATACAGCATTAATTAATCTACAGAATGGGTTAATTACTCTATTAGATGATGAGGAGAGAGAGAGTGGTTTCTCACCAGGTATTAATTTCAATTATTTATTATCTGTTATAATAACATCTGTTCATTTTTAAGGATCAGATTTTAAAAAAATTCATTTAAATTAAGCGAATTAAAAGTGAAATTAAAACAGTGGTTGATGTTTAAAGTTCTGCATGAAAATATAAAGAGTTCAGACACAGTTAATAATTGAATGTCCCTGTTCAGATGCAATATATATAAAGCTATCACTGAATTAAGCTTTCAAAAAAAATCTCACTAATCTTCAAAATAAAATCTTAACAATCAATTTATTATTTTGACAGTGTTTTGTGATGAAGAACATTCATTGGATGAAAAAAATGCTAATAGTCAATCACAGTCAATGTAAGTACAGCAATAACACCAAAATGATACACAATCTCAATATGGCTGCACACGATTAAAACATTTTCTGTATAGGACTGTTAATACTCACACTGGAGAGTTTGTTTAACTAAATCTATCCGACACGTTCTGGTACCTCTGTTATTATATTTTGGTACTGAGGTGATCAAGTATACTGCAATTCAGATTTTCATGATTACCATGATATAATGTTAATAATAATGATTTATATTATAGGGATATCAAGACTGAAGAATTCAATACAGCACCATTAGCTAGACCTGTATCTATAGCTGATTCTTCTCTACTATCTAGTACATGCAAACCCTCTATTAGACATTATAAAAGTACACCAGAATGTCGTAATAAATCATTTTCTTTGAATCCATTTTCAGCAAACAAATTCAATAGGTATGAATAAATAAAATTAAGTGGAGGTCCACATCGTACTTTTTAGACTTATGATGATGATTTGCAAACCCATGCAGTATGCAATGAGTGAAACATTGTCTTCATAACGATTAGTACAATACAGCAGTTCATTATTTCCTAAATTTTATGCTTTAGTTTTGTTGCCTATATCATATATCAAATGAATACTGAATCCAGACTGACATTAAGTATGGTTGAGATTTAAATCACTAAAGTTTAGTTTGATGGAACCTTGTCTACCTTGATATTAAAGATATTTTTGTTTTCAAATTTTAGATTGAGTTCGTCAAATAAAATGAAAGTTGGACCACCAATGAGAGTGAAATTAAATCTACAATCTACAGATACTATTGGTTTAGAAGAAACATTAGAAGATAGCACTATAAACAGTTTTAAACCACTAGATTCCTTTCATAGAACAAACGGTATACTAACAACAGATTGTTGTTAATTATCTGTGCATTACATCTCTGAAATACTGGCTTGGGAATCAGAATTTTTCTTACCTGGAGGAAGAATCAAATCTATTGAACCTCATTGCCTAGCAGACGACAATCCTACGTGTTGTGTACTACTGAATAACAAAAGATTGATGTAGTTACTGAAAGATATTTTTTTGTATTTCAGAAACATTTGGTGCTCATTCCTCTGGCTATGTATCTTCAACTACCAATGATTTAACTGAACAAAGTGATATAAGTGACAATCAGAATAAACTGACTGAAGAATTAGGTCAACCCTCCAGTCATTCTACTATAGACCTATCATTACAAGCACCTAGTAAAAGACAATGTATTGTGGAACCTAGTGACTTTAAACAACCCTCTGTAAATACTTCCCCTGTCAAACAAACTATGAATACAGTCAATAATAACCCCTCTTCCCCTGCCCCGTGTAAATCTATATCCTCACCCCTCAAATCTGTTCAAAATTTGATGGATAGACACCAATGCTCAAATGATAAAGAAAATGTTATGAATGTCAACAATACAAGTTTGGAATCTGAGATGCCAATGGAAGTAGAAAATCAACCAAAAACAAATCAACCATTACATTTACAAGTAAATCAACCAGTGGACCAACAAAAAAATCAACCAATACACCAACAAATATCTGAACCGGTGCACCAACAAAAGGATCAACCATTACCACCCCCATTAAGTCAACCTATACCAGAACCAGTAAATCAACCTTTACCACAACCAGTAAATCAACCTTTACCACCTAAAATACATCAACCATTACCCCAGCCTACTTTGTATCAACCTGTACCAACACCTATGAAAGTAAGTTTTCTTTAATATGGTATATCATTTATTTAAACCTTGTGTAGTAGATAGCCATTACTAAAGTCAGAGGTTTGTGGAAGAATTCCTTTGCCTAAATGAACAAGTTGAAAGAGTGTGCCTTTGCCATTCTTACTAATTATTTGTCAAAGATTGTTTGGTGTAAAGATTTGAAGAAATCAAGCATATTTTCATTTAAAAAGATCCATATGAAAAATTCATATTAAATGTGTACAAGTTTGATGTATAATTTGTTAATATTTATATTTGTTAGTTTGGTAATGATGTAAAATGTGTTAATGGACATGTGTACTCGGTATTAAAGATAGCTGGTAGAGGAGGTTCAGCCAAGGTATTTATTTTTATTCCATTTTATATTGATTGTCTGATATACTTGTATATTTATATTTTACATGTAGATAGTATTAGCTTACTTGAAAACCTCATTTTTTCCTAAAGTCACAAATTTTCATGAAAGCTGAAAATTAAAAAAAGACAAAATGGCTTCTTGTTAATGACTCTAGTTTCTAAACATGATTATATATACCAGGTGTACCAAGTACTAGATGAAAAGAATAATGTTAGAGCATTAAAATGTGTAGATTTAGATGGTTCAGCTCATGTTGTTATAGAAGGATATAAAAATGAAATCAATTTATTAAAAAGATTACAATATTGTGATGCTGTCATCAAGATGTATGACTAGTAAGTAATTAAAGTACATCCTAACATGGAAACCAAATTAGAATTGTCCTTGTAAGTTTGTGATTCAAAGAAAGTATGCTAATCTGAATTAACCATATGTAGGTAGACTATAAAGGCATTATAAAAATTACATTTTCATAGATAGTAGTGAACAATTTGTATGCTATGCTATATCTAGATTCTAGGGACCTTATTGAATTCAAAAATAATTATTACAAGTAGTAGTGAAGTGTTTAGATAATGCAATCCAATGTCCACATAGCAAATAAAGTGGAGTCATTTATCATCCACATGGCAGTAACAACACAAACCTGAATTAAGAAGATATAAGCTGGAAAGTAAAGGCCTCAATTTTGAAATTTTGAGATATATAGATATAATTACTATTTGCCTGTAGCAAATTTGCTGAATACAAATTTACCAAAGAGAACAAAAACAACCAAATGATTTTTCTGTTTCCAGTGAGTTTGATGAAATAAACAATAAGTTAAATGTTATATTAGAATATGGAGAAACAGATCTAGCTGTACATTTATCAAGTAGGAAAAAAGGTGGAAAAAGTCTTGGAGAAGCTGTTATTAAATTCTATTGGCAGGAAATGTTATCAGCTGTTAATGCCTTACATAAAGAAGGTAAATAGATTTCGTTTTGAACACATTGAATACAAGGCTTATAACGCAACTTACATCATCTTCTTAATCAATTCCAATTTAATGATGTAAAAGTTTTGGGCTCATGGGAATGGATAAGGAGGCGTTTAACTACACAATGTTACGTTTCTTATGTTTTGTGTTATGAGCCTCGTTCTGGATTCAATATGGCATATATTAAAAACTATGTCCCATGAGTCGGGTCTTCTACCTAACTACTACCTATTAACATACTAATGTGAATTAACCTTTGTTTCAGGTATAATACATTCAGATTTAAAGCCAGCTAACTTTATGTTTGTGTCTGCTAATTTAAAGTTAATAGATTTTGGAATAGCTGATGCTGTACAACAAGATAAAACAAGTGTATTTAAAAATGTTACTGTGGGTACTGTAAGTTATATGAGTCCAGAAGCTATCAAAGAATCTTGTGATGGTCAAGCTAAATACAAGGTATTATTATTATTCTCTTCTTGTGGCCAGTTTGCGGTAGGATATAATGTGGGCCTATAAAAATGATTGATAGACTTCATTATAAATACATTGGTTCCTGTGCAAAATTTGTGCCAAATATATCATGACTGCATTTGACCCTTTGCTGTCTGTATTTACGTTTACCTTTTTTTATCTTGCCTCAAGAAATTTTAATCACTGTTGAATATCTGAATGCTACCAATGCTTATATTCTAGAAACCATATCTTGGTTGTTTTTTTTTTTTAACTACTATCTGACACAATGATTACTAGCCACATTTTGACTATTATTTTAGTATGAATTGAATTATTAATTTTAGGCCATACCAAAATAATAATCTGTTCGTCGGGAATTTAAAATTAAAAAATAATATTCCGTATGTATCAAAAGAGCTCCCGTATGTAATATTTTGAAATTTTTAATTTTAAAAAAAAATTATATTGCCCGTATGTCCGTACCTCTAAATTGATCAGTTAACATGATTGTTTAGCTCTCATTTTTAGTTTCATTTTTATTTCTCTAAGCCTAAAATTTGGTAGCAGGAGTAACAAATTGCGCCCTCTATTTCGGTTTGTCAGTTTGTGGACATCGTGCGACAATTATAGTAGAACATGTTCCAGCTGTTGAAAGAGTGAGTTCCTACAGTAGTTTTGGCCCTTCGCTGAAGCAAGAACGTTTTCTTGACGACCGGACGCATCGAAATTCCGGAAGTTGATGATTATCAGAAATAGGCATGGCCGATGCAGTGCTAGAATTAATATTTGTATTTGTCTTTTTTACCGAAATGATTTTAGTAATCAAAATTAGGTCACACCAGAAACTTATTTTGCCATACATGGCGTTTGATGTTGAGCCTGAAAACACTTTTAAAGATGTTTATGGAATTCAATCGTGTATATGACAGATCCCAGAAAAAGTGTACATCAAGGACAATATGGAAAAATCAGGCGGTGTCTTAGTTACACTTTCATTGAAAATTTCTCTGTGTGATGAACTGAACTCCAAGTTTGTGGACTTTTTAATTTACTTGCCTTCTCATTCTTCGCCTGAAGAACCTGTTTGTAATACTTCCAAAAGGGATAAAAATGTTTTCGATTTTATGATGGCATCAAGAAAGACATTAATGTTTCCTGAAAAACCTACACCACCAGTCTTTGACAAAACCTTAACTGGACCTCAAAAACTATTTTGTGATGTGCTAGATTGGTGCAAAACAATTGATGATGGCTGGTCAAAAGACCAGTTAATCTGTGCAAAAGAAATTTTGTGGAAGATTACAAATAAATACTATTAATTGTTATTTTATCTGAATACATTCAAAATCATCCATGCTGGAAAATTTAATGGTACGAAGGGACTTTTTTTTTTTTTTAAATTAAAAAATATTATATCGCACCAACCAAATCAATGATTACTAACTTTTAGACATTTTTTTTTTTTAAATTAAAAAAAAAAATTTCGTTCACTCGTACCTTTTTTTTTTTCAAGAAATCCCGAAGAACAGAAAATTATTTTGGTATGGCCTTAATATTGTCTGTGGGTCTATGAGATTGATAATCAAAGGAAAAATATATTATTTTGAAATTAATTTATTAATTGTGATAATAATTATTATAGATAAGTGTGCGAAGTGATGTTTGGTCTTTAGGCTGTATATTATATGTTATGGTATATGGTAAAACACCATTTCAACATATACGTCATCAGCTAGCGAGAATACAAGCTATTACTGATGATAAACAAGTAATAGATTTCCCTGATATACCAGATAAACTACTATTAGACGTTTTGAAGGTAACTATTTATTTTGTTTCTTGGTTTTTGCACACAATTAATCAGCTACATTTTTCTTTTATGCAATTTTGAAGATCGGCACAGCTTGAATGGCAATTGAATACATCTTATCAGATCTGCTTCTGTTGACATTAGAAAAAGACTCAAAACTTTTTGCAACTGGACAGTCTGATGCCATTGTGGTGATGGCACCTATTTTTATGATCTCTTATGGATACGCACATTGTCTACCTTTAGACCCCCATACTGTACACGAGATTACAAAATACAAGAGTAGGTCCCTTTTTTTTTGGCATTCTTTTTGCAAATATATTGGAAATGATGATATCCAAAATTATTCTTGGGGTTTTGACCTATGATTGTTTGTCTCAACTTATAACATGTGAATTTTTATAGAAATGTTTAATCAGAGATGTTAAATTGAGACCTACAACTGATGACCTACTAAATCATCCTTATTTGTCACAAGGTCCTAGTGTAGATAGCCCAGGTAAATATTTCTCTATTATGTAGGTCATAGCACTTTTCCAATGGAGCTGAGTTGGTCAAGAAATTTCAGAATCTCTATCCCAGCTTCATGGTGCCACTCATTGACTAGATTTTCCAATTTGCCATCCTTTACAGAGATTTCACATAGCTTATAATTATTGTATTTGGTATATCTATTATTAAGTTTTAACTCAATACCAAATCTGTTAATTTACAGTTCATACTCCTAAACCAAGAAGCATACAGAATATACTTGATCAGATCAGTGAGTTTTCACCACGAAGTATGCAAACATTTCAGGTAAAACTTTCTTCTATATCGAGTTCAGTTTAACTTGATCAGTTATTTCTCTTTTCTTTTATATGCAACAAAATATGTGGATAAAATTGAAGTCTCCATCATATTGAGACTTTATTTTTTATGTAGCTCCTTTCTTGTAAATTTTGATCTGTTTGCCTGAAAATGTCAGCAATAGTCAAGGACAAGTGATTTGAAGCCTCTTTTTGGTATAAAACTTTTTGTACAGGGAAAAAAAGATTTCTTGTTTCAGTATTAATATTCTTTTTATTTTCAGGGCTTGGTTCAAAAAATAGGAAAGTAAAACATTTATTTATAGTGTGCTGTAATTAAGAAACTTGTAAATCAAATAAGATATTTTTGTTCAAAGTAATCTAGAACATAGATGTATGATAAACTAAATATGTAATATATACAAGTTGTATTTATAATAAAATTTATTTAGTTGTTTGGCAGTAGACTTGGAATGAGAGGATAAAATCTGCAATTCTGAGAAAATCATTACTGATATTAAAATTGTAAATCTAACTTGACATACTACAATGGGACCAACAATCACCATGAAATTGACAGTGGGAGAAGATAACATATCAGTAAATGCTACATCACAAAATTCTGCATGTTCAGATTAATGTCTAAATTCTACAAAAAAAAAAAAAAATTTATGTAAGATTTAATATATATAAAGAAAAAAATAAATGTCTATCCTCGGTCTTCTTCTCATGTCACAATTATCATTAAAACTTACACTTAGCACTAATTCTCATACAAACGTCAGTAAAAAGCTAAAATCCTCTCAGTATGTTATGCTTCAAGATTCAATTTAGCTGTTAAATCAGCAACTTCTTCATCAGACATATCTTCTTCACTTTCACAGAACGACATTCTGGGTGAGGGTCGGCAACCACGATTTATATAGCTAGTGAGTCTACCAGTACTAGCTAATAATAAACCTAAATAGGGTGGTGATGGTTTCATTGGTCGTGAGATATATTCTGGGTGATATTGAACACCAACATAATATGGATGACCTAGATTAATGAAACAAAGGTTAAAACATAACATTTCTTCAAAGTAACAATCATGTCTATTGCCTGATATTGTCAATAAATGTGAGCTCTTTAAAGTAAGGATAGTTTAAACTTCACATTCAGATTGTATTTAATAAATCAGTGGAGAGATATATGTAAACTTTTGATACAAATAGAACTCAATAAACAACATTTACCTTCAAGTTCCATGATTTCCATTCTTTCACCATCTTCACTTCTACCTACAAACTTCATACCTTTGGCTTCTATCTTTTCAGTGTAGGTTGGGTTGACCTGTTTAATATAAGAATGGCCCTTTACCTTCTGACCGCAAACACATCATAATTGAGATACTAAAGCAGATGGTTTCAGACTTAACAGATAAAGTTCATAACTGGCTGAAGTGGGCACTTTGTGTATCCTGTTTCAGAGATGGAAATATAAAATATATAATAAATGGCCACTTAAATATTTACCCGTTAAAATATAAATTCAATTTCTCATTATCATCTTCTGATCTTACTAAGTAAATCTATAAGTATATTGCATGGCCTACCTCATATCTATGTCTATGTCTTTCTTCTACATATTCTTTATTATGATATAATTTTTCTACAATAGATATTGAATTAGGTTAGTTAACATTCCTTCTTAATTAGTCTAAAACATCAGATTAAAACAAGACTGATCAGTTTCATTATCACAAAGATCTAATAAATTATTCTTTATCAGTTGAATCTATTTCCACTACCGATAGCACTTTCAAAATAATATTACATTTTACTGCTGTGGCATCAATAAAATATAGCTTGCCAGGCAAGGTAACATACGCCCACAGATAGCTTTGATTGTAAGTATTATGAAATTCGATATATTTACCATCTTCATAATGACATTGACACACAAAATCAAAAGAATCTAAGAATGTAAAGAATTGTTGCTTGTAGAGTGAAAAAATCATCACGTAAATTGATAGGGATCATCTTCATAATGACATTGACCCACAAAATAAAAATCAAAAGAATCTGTAAAAAAGTGTAGCTTTAGAGTGAGCACGAATTGCACAATATAGCCAATAGAGTAAAACGTCAATTCAGACAGGATATTTCCGTGAAATATTTTCCAATCATCACGAAAATCAATAGGGATCATCTTCATAACAACATTGACATACAAAATAAAAATCAAAAGAATCCGTAAAGAACTGTAGCCTGTAGAGTGAGCACGAGTTGCACAATATAGCTAATAGAGTAAACGTCAAGTCAGACAGGATATTTCCGTGAAATATTTTGCGATCATCGCGAAAATCAATAGGGATCATCTTCATAATGACATTGACCCACAAAATAAAAATCAAAAGAATCCGTAAAGAACTGTAGCCTGTAGAGTGAGCACGAGTTGCACAATATAGCTAATAGAGTAAACGTCAAGTCAGACAGGATATTTCCGTGAAAAATTATCCGATCATCACGAAAATCAATAGGGATCATCTTCATAATAACATTGGCACACAAAATAAAAATCAAAAGAATCTGTCAAAAAGTGTAGCTTGTAGAGTGAGCACGAGTTGCACAATATAGCTAATAGAGAAAAACATCAAGTCAGACGATATTTCGGTGAAAAATTATCCGATCATCACGAAAATCAATAGGGATCATCTTCATAACAACATTGACATACAAAATAAAAATCAAAAGAATCCATAAAGAACTGTAGCCTGTAGAGTGAGCACAAGCCAAATGTGAACGGACGGACCGACGGGGTGATTAAAATATACGCCCATCTTACGTGTGGGCGTATAAAAACTGTATTCGTATAATTAATGAATAATAATATTCATACTTACTGACAAGTGAATTTTTAACTTTAAACAATGTTTTACGTTTTCCTAATCTCATTGTTCCTCCCATTTGACCCGGATTGTGTTCTGGCATTTCAATCACCTAGAAATGAAGTCCAATTGTTGAATAATTGTCATACTTTGTAACGCCTCATTAGTGATTAGTTAATAGAGACTGTAAGACCATGAAGTAGGAAATTCACAGTCGAGGCAAGGAAAAGCATTTTCCATTTGAGACACTCCAACCTGCAACGCAAGGAGGAGCTGGTCAGAATGCAACATCTTAACCCAGCTCAAGATCAAACACAGATCTTCAGGTAAGTGTGGAAGTATTCAAGCCGAGCTTTTTAGTCCTTAGATCTGCAACATGACTAGAAAAGTACAACACAATATCTTTTCCAGCCTTGCAGTATCTCTTTGCTGAGTCACCCATTTGGTTTCTGGAGAGTGGTATAAAGTACATTTAGTTAATAGAAAAGACTATAATTACCACTGGATGTTCTGTATTAGGATTAAATTCTGTAGAGTGAGAATCAGTGAGCTCTAAAACATTTCTAGTAAATTCTATAACGGCACATTGTAGTCCTAGACAAACACCTACAAAACAACCACTTTCATGTAAAAACTACATATTTGTATTTGTTTGATGTGGAATTTGTAAAGCTAAACAGCGCCAAATTGTAACTGCTTACTACAAGAAATGTAAACTCTTGGGACCCCTAGACTTACAGTCCTAATAACCCTTAGTGGCAGATGGTGATGAAAACTAGTCTCATGAAAGCACTAGCCTAGGTCACAAAGTAAAGATTTATGATGGAAATAGGAGCAAGGTTAAGATAATTAGATACATAAACTATGGATTTTGTTTTGAGTTATTATTAGATTCAGCTGTCGCCCCCCCATGCAAATGTGGCAGTCTCCCTTGGTACATTGGGCTGATTTTATACTCACCTAGAAATGGAACATTCTTAGTTCTGGCCCACTGTGCTGCCAATATTTTACCCTCTGTTCCACGTACTCCAAAACCACCAGGTACCAGAATGCCACTAAAAAAACAAAACAACCATTAAAACACTGGACTTAATATCTTCAAGTAAAGAATGCCAAAATAAAATCATTCATCTATACATCTAAAATTGTATGTTGTGTAAATGCATTCAATCTTTTTGGCTTTAATTCCATATCATAAGTCATCCTAGCAAAATGAAATAATGGCCTTTTATGTCCTACCTTTTTGCACCTAATTGGTGTTTTTGATTATAAAATAAACTGATCTGGCAGATCTTCAAAAGGCTTATCTTCTGCTAATATGTTTAACTAATTTAGTGAAGAAAGATAGTATACTTACTTGGCTCCTACTAATTCTTTCCAGGCTTGATGATATTTCTGGGCATCTTCATGTATCATAGATGGCTCCAGATCCGCAGCTTCTATATACTGTATAATAAATATATTCATCATTATCATCAATATTGACTTATAAATAGCATTGTCATCAATATTGACTTATAAATAGCATTATCATCAATATTATACAAAGCATTGTCATCAAATATTATACATAGCATTGTCATCAATATTATACATAGCACTGTCATCAATATCATACATAGCATTGTCATCAATATTGTACATAGCATTGTCATCAATATTATACATAGCATTGTCATCAATATTATATATAGCATTATTATCAATATTAACTTATAAATAGCATTGTCATCAATATTTACTTATAAAAGTATTATTATCAATATTAACTTATAAAGAGCATTATTAACTTGTATATAGCATTATTAACTTATAAATACCATTATTAACTTATAAATACCATTATTATCAATATCAAATCATAAATACCATTGTGATCAATATTAACTTATATATAAGAAATACCGGTACCATTGTCATCAATATTATATATAGCATTATTATCAATATTAACTTATAAATAGCATTATTAACTTGTATATAGCATTATTAACTTATAAATACCATTATTATCAATATTAAATCATAAATACCATTGTCATCAATATTAACTTATATATAAGAAATACCAGTACCATTGTCATCAATATTATATATAGCATTATTATCAATATTAACTTATAAATAGCATTGTCATCAATATTTACTTATAAAAGTATTATTATCAATATTAACTTATAAATAGCATTATTAACTTGTATATAGCATTATTAACTTATAAATACCATTATTATCAATATTAAATCATAAATACCATTGTCATCAATATTAACTTATATATAAGAAATACCAGTACCATTGTCATCAATATTATATATAGCATTATTATCAATATTAACTTATAAATAGCATTGTCATCAATATTTACTTATAAAAGCATTCTTATCAATATTAACTTATAAATAGCATTATTAACTTGTATATAGCATTCTTAACTTATAAATACCATTATTATCAATATTAAATTATAAATACCATTGTCATCAATATTAACTTATATATAAGAAATACCGGTACCATTGTCATCAATATTAACTTATAAATACCTTTGTCATCAAATAGTAAATAGACTCATCCTATGACTTCCGATTAAAATTCTAATGTGGATAAATGGATAAGCTGAACTAAAAATTTACCTTAAGATCTAGTCTATGACTGATAGCTAGAGCTGAATGTTGTAAAGACTTGATAACAGAGGCATAGGCATCTTCTAACTGTGTATATTTACCAACCAACACAATGGTTACTTCTTTAAGTAACCTATCGTGTCTAAATGGACAATAAAATATAGTTGAAGTAATAATAATCATAAATTACACATTCTACTGTTCTCCATGGTCTATAACATACACTTCAGCCAATGAATTGTCACACGATTTTTCCAACAGTTTCCTAGATTGTGTTTCAGGAAAGCAAAATCTGTCTGTCTTTCACATAAAAAAAAAAGGTCTCACAGATAATGGGTCAGTAGGTCACATAAAAAATATACTCTACCTGTCTGCTAATTCTTTCCATTTTGCCATGTGTCGTAAAGGTGATTTTTCAAAACCAGTTAAATGCAAACGATTTGTAAAAAATTCTTTAGCTCCTTGACTTGCTAATAATAACGGCACTCTGTACAGGGAAGAGACATCATGTACACAGAAAACCTGAAACATATATTCATATATGATTATGAACAGTTCAGAAGTTCACATCATATATGTTTACATAAAAGGCAGATATAAAAGTATCAGCTTCATATCCAGGGGGAATCGCCCACAAATCAACCAAAATAAACATGATATAGAAAACATATGAAAACTGTATACTCTTTATGCATACTGATGTAAATTAAAATGAAATCACTTAACAACAGATCACACACTAAAATGAATAACTTTTTGCTATTCATGTTTTCATGTTAGTTTCTAAAATTGAATTACAAGTGGTAACAGAGATATATATTATAATTCATTTACCTGTTCAGGTTCAACATGACAAAACAATGAAACCTTTTGTTTGACGGCATCAATTAATGGTGTATTACTTCTACATACAACCTATAGAATATGAACATAATATATAATTAAAGAACTTTTCTATCAGGAATTAACAATGGTTATCAAGCTCACGACAGTAGATAATCTGAACTTCCACTAAGATAATTTTTTTTCAATTCAATTTAAAATTGTGAAAAGTGATAAATATAACTAAGGTGGACATAGTGTATAATGTGCAGTAGTTCAAATTGTATACATTAATTATAGCAAACTTCAAAGTTCTTACCAGATCTGGAGATAAACCTAACCCTCGTAATTCCCTTACACTAGATTGTGTCGGTTTAGTTTTTTGCTCTCCTGTAGTCTTTGGCTACAAAACAAATAATATGTCATTATCAATAAAAAAATATTCAAATTAAATATTACATCCATTGCTTTTTTTAATTTTTGAGATTTTCATTTGCTTTAAGTGATTTTTATGCTTGTTTAAACTGTATTTTTCAACTTACTTGAGGCACTAAGCTAACATGAACACAACAAAAATTCTCCTTTTTTACTCTGAATTGAAACTGTCTAAATGCCTCAACAAAAGGCATACCTTCTATATCTCCTATTGTTCCCCCTAACTGAAAAAAACATACAGAAATTTTACGTCAACAAAACAATCTAGAGATGTATACTTTGTACTCCTATAATGATTCAAAAGGGAAGGGCAATGAACAGAAAGATATTAAATAACATAGCTGAGTTTCCAATGAATAGACTGGTAGAGAAATTTGACTAATTCTTGGCAATTAAGACCCTTAGAAAGTAGAAACATGACCCTTAGAAAGTAGAAACATGATAAAAGTGACATCAAAGAAAGTAGAAATCTGAGCTTATGATTTACAGTCTAGGCCACAGAATGTCTATTGCAAAGATAAAACATAATTTCATGGTTCTTCACTAAGCTTATCTTTTGAATCGGACATTTAATAAACAAGACTCAGGGCTATTGTAAGTTGTATATTCACTTGATTTTAAACGTTTAATAGTTCTGAAATTACCTCTATAATGCAAACATCTGGAATCTGACTACCCTCTACTGGTCTTTTAGCAACACGTATCACCCATTCTTGTATACTATCTGTTATGTGAGGTACAACTAAAAATATCAAATTTCATTATTATAAAAAGGCATTTTACATTCTTCTGAATAATACAGTATGATTTTGCCAGAAAAACCACAATAATTCCCAATTTTCCATCTTGATTTCTAATTTTGTACAAGGATGTATCTAAAGAAAAACGGAGAGCTTGCATCACACAAAGGAGTTCTGCTTTTTTTTCTTACATTCTATCTAAATAATATGATTCAAAATACTTGACATCAATTTAGTCCCTGAAAATATTTATTTGAGATAGGGCATCACATCCAATATTAACAGTTTGATAAGGGGAGTAATTACAAAATTTGCTAACACTTTTCTTTGACACAGGTGTCTAGATCAAGTGCTTTTATAGCTTTGCTGCACTGTACTATAATAGTTAATATGTAATGGATAGTTAACAGTTCTAATTTTTCAGCAAGATCATTTTGTTCTAAAGTATTTTATACCTTGTACTGTTTTACCAAGATAATCCCCCCTTCTCTCTTTATTGATGACATCCTGATAAACTTTGCCTGTTGTAATATTATTATCTCTATGTAATGTAATGTCTAGAAATCTTTCATAATTTCCCAAATCTAAATCTACTTCTCCACCATCATCTAAAACAAACACTTCACCTACAAATAAATAACACAAAAAATATATTTGACATATGATTGCCATGACAACAAAAAAGTTGTTCTTGCTGATTTAAAAGTTTTACATCTTGTTCTTTCTCAAAGTTTCGGAACATGTATAAATAAACTAACAAAAACTGATATTTGAAAGCAAAATCCTTCACACTGTTTTTTGCAATAGGGGTTTAAAGTTGGCATAAGGAGGACTTTTGGAAGGACAGCACCTACCTAGCAGTAGACACAGTAGTCACATTAGTTTATTCCACTGACATAAAAGACAATGTTCAAACACAGCATCAACAGTTTGATGTTGACACAATTTGAAAGTTGCCAAACAGCATTGAACACCTTTTTCATGTTAGTCCTCTGGTATGCATCCCTGGCTAGGGTATTTGCTATAAATAATCAGAAGGTATCATCTTAAGACTGAGCAAGGATTAACCCCTAGACCATCAGCTTAGTAATAAAGCACCAAATTTGCCTACCTTTCCTGACCCTATTGTAAAGAGGGAAACATCTTACCATGCTCATAAGGAGAGAATGTACCAGCATCAATATTAATATAGGGATCAATCTTTATAGATGTTACAGCAATACCAGACGATTTTAATATAGTACCAATACTACTTGCTATAACACCCTTCCCAACTCCACTTATGACACCCCCTGTCACTAAAACATACTTCATAGTCTTCCTTAGTAAACTAGCCAGCTTTCTATAAACAACCACAAATCCGTTATTATAATTAATCATAAATACCAATAAGTTAAGGGTATACTAAAGGTCATCTTGAGATCACCGGTCATGATAATCAAACACTTAACCATGGGCATCAAATAACCCATAGTAACATAATTTCTTATTTTTTGAAGTTTCATGTACCAAAACCATCCAACCGTTGTGATTTCAGAATCACATCTCACTGTAAATTTGTATGCAGCTTCAAACTATAGCATTTTTCATCTACCCAGTGATGAGAAAGAGGAAAGATAAGATCCATGATCTTGACTTTCTGTCAATATTATCAAAAATTATCAATAATTGTTTGGCTTGTGTGCTCAATGCAACTAGTCCATACACTGGATTATATTTCCTATGATAGCCTATGACATCACTGGGTGTAACTTACAGTTAGTCACAATGAGAGTTCGAACTAAAGCAAAATTAAGTGTGAGGCAGAACTGAAAATCTAAAGGTGACATCCAAAAATGGGCAAATTTATAGATTTCATTTAAAAAAGCAATTATAGGATATCTAGGATAAGCAAGCAGAGGTGACAGGAAGAATCAAGGACAAGCATTGCATTGAGCATCTATAAGTATAACACATGGAGAGTAATAACAATTTTGACAGATCAATAAGAGCATGATGCAAAAAATCTAAACAACCTTTCAGCGAATGAGTGAATGACTAAGAGCAAGACAATCACATTTTATTGTCTGAAACTTAAAGTATCTTATGCAATGTAAACAAATCCACGTGCTTCCAAATCAACAATAACATGAAACATCAAGACAATATCAAGAGATAAAACTTCAAAAATAAGCAAAGAACTTTAAAATTGAATGAATAAAATGATCATTATCGTTTCAAACGATAGTAACATGAAAATATCCTGGTCTACCACTTACACTTACAGGCTTTGAATAAAACGATGAATAACTAAATTCTTGAAAACACTGGCTCCAAAAATACCGCTACATGACAAATACTGACCAATAAACACCCGTCGTTTCATTTGCTACATGCTACAATCAATTTCTTTACTGATTTTATTGAGATGTATAAATTAAACACGAAACGAATTTTCGTTTTTGCGGTTGTGGTGGTGTATTATGAGGTTGATTTTGTTTTCGGTCATATTTTTCATTTCATAAAAATATATAAATTGATCTATCGTGGTGGTTAGCAGAATAGAGGTAGAATAAAGGTGTTATTCATGTCAATAAGAGAACTCTTATTTCATTGAAGACATAGTTGTATTAAAAAAAAAACATACACACGTTCAAAGACTACTTTACCTTCAGCACAGTATTTCTTAATCACAATCTGTTCCAGACATATTGGTAGAAATTGGAATGAGATGAAAACAAAAGCAATTTATTTTGACAGGAGTAAAGTTTTTTTGCGCTTTTTGAATATTTTTATATTCCTTAAATGCTTTTTAAAATGTACGCAACAATTCGATAAATCAATTTACCAAACATTTCAGACGCTGTGAGTTTTCTAAAATTAAATTGTAGTCTTGAAAAACCAGACCGGTCATTGTCCTAGAGTGTTAGTCCGAAAAGTAGAGCCTGGACAAAGACCTATTTCTGTCAAGTGTTCCTCATAAGGATAACATCGACAATAAAATAAAATGTACGACGGCTTATGAAATTTATTTGATGACAACATTGTCATTTTATAAATTAATTAAGATAATTGAATAGAGCCAATAATTTGACAAATTTTCCCAAATCAAATTAAATGTAGGCCTATAATAGCCTAGGCCTATGTAGGATTCTTTGTGGATTTTGATACAACTCAATGAAACTACCACCCAAGATAAGCCATGTCGACAAGATAAAATATAAAGAAAATTAATTAAATACCATTGTTCTTTCAAACACGCTGATTTCTACCTCTTAAATTCTCTAGAAGGTAAAAGTCAAAGTCACAGAGCAAATAGTCATAAAAAGCACGAGCAGATATATATAAAAAGAAGAGAAAAGATAAAGAACTATGCATTGATTTTAGTTGACTGGCAATGCCTTGGTCAAAAAACGAGACTAAAAAATAAGTTGGTTATATATGATTGCAGGCAGTTCTACTTTATAAGGGTCAAGTATCAATAAGTCTAATGTTTGAAGATGGGTTCCCCTATTTTCATTTATGAAAATGAAAATGCTCATACTTACATGAATAGAAAGTAGAGATGTTCTAATGACCTGGAAAAATACTAGTTTGTCTCACATGTCATATCACGGTATTCAAAGGCAGCAAAAGTTTAAACAAAAAGAGAATTTTTGACCTTTCTTGATAGGTCACTCATTGGAATTCTGCTGGTAATTCTCTTCTTAGCTAATTTTAAGTCATAAAAACACCATCTTTTATTTGACGGAAATAAAAATAAAATCCGTTACAGGATAATTGTGTACTTTGCAAGCAGCAGTTTTATAAGTTTATAGATGGATAGGGGGCCCTAATGTTGTATTTCGCACAGTTTATTCGAAAACTCGAACATTTTTAATTCCAACAGAACTATTTAAAGGTATATAGTTTCACATCAATAAAAGACTTAAATCGGTTGACATTTCCATTAGGATTTCCAGACAAATTATTTGACATGTTATATCGGGTGGCCCACGCAAAACGATCACACTTCTCATTTCAGGATTATTTATAAAGTATCGAAGGGTTAGGACATCTTTTCACAAATTTACAGCTTTATAGGTTGAACGACTTTGGAATACCATCAAATTTAAAATTCAATGTCGAGAGATATAAGTTTAGAGTGAAGTCAAGACGAAATCATACTTCCAATGAAGATGCTGTTAGAAAGGTCACAAATATAAACACTGTCCACAACCTGGTTAGAACATATAGGGACACAACCTTCAGGGCTGCAACCATGTAGCAGACAATGCTGCGAACAAGGTGAACTTATTCATCAATGGCCTAAGTATCTCGTTAAAGTTGATCATAGACCAGTGCCTACTATGTATCAAGAAGAACTAAACAGTAATTATTTTTTAATATCATTAAATATTTAAGTTAATAATGTATTCCATTTACTTTTCCAAAAACTCGTCATTAATTATACATATTTAATCAATTATTATATTATCATTATGATTATAAATATTATATTATTTATAAATTAATTTCCATTTCAGAGCTTCGCACTGATGAAGGCCATGTGCAGGCCACTGGAAGAGCGAATTGACATTCTAAAACATAGACTCATAACTGGTACAATCATAAACTTGTTTATGGTGATGTTGTTTTTCACCTTGTGGGATTGTGAATTTGTAAACTGCAAACTTGTATTTACTTGATAAATTATGATAAAAACAAAACATGAAAACTTTTGCATATCCCACTTATTTGCCTTATTAGATGTTAGTGAAATTACAAGAATGACTTTAAGCGTTCTTATTTTTGAAAAGAAATTTTAAAAATGCTACTCAAAGTGTTTCATGGCAATGACTATTTACCACTGGCGTGGTAAGCGTAGTAAATAGCCATAAGTACCCTTACAGCTGTTTACCACGGCGTGGTAAATAAAATTAGTTATGATTTGATATTCCTTTCGGGAAAATTGCTTAAAAGTATCTAAATATTCAAAATTACGATTTTGCAATCAAAAACTCATCATGTTCATAAAAAATTCCCTTTTTGAAAAAAAAAATGTCGTGTTTGTTTACAAATAAATGTCAAGGCCGATTGTGAAGACTTCTGCACAATTCAAGGCTGAATACTTATCAATTCAAACCTATCTAAAAAGTTCCGCGTTGTATGAAATTTGGTGTACATTCATTTGTTCTTTCGGCAAAAGATTTTAATTACAAATTAGTTAAAATTTACTTCTAATGAATTGGAAAGCAGGCTTATTACAAGTACAGTCAAATAACCTAATTTTGTGCTAACCTATTTTTCGTGCATTTCCGGAAATGATTAACAATTTACATGTTTCCGCATGTGCTTGTTTTGATAAACATGAGTTATCTGTACCATGTCAATGCAAGGTAAAATGCATTAATGTATCCTTTGACAAATACAAAATGGCGGATTCCAGTTATTACCAAACGTCACATTTTTTTATCGGTCGAATATCCTTATAATCCCTAGCTGTAATCCAAGTGTCGTCTGCTAGAATGTAGTCCAACGAATGAAGTCAGGACAATTTTATTTCGACCATGACAAATAATTTCATTTAAATGGACAGTTACGCCAATTTGTTGACGAATCCTACTATAGTCTCGGAAACGGGATTGGTTTAACTAAACCAATCAGTAATAGTGTTCAGAGCTCACCGTCAAAATTTGAGCCTTCAAAGTCATATGTTTGACTACATGTATTACTACAGATATTGATACTGCTTGACTGCAGTATGTAGTCTGGGTCGGTAATAATACAGATATTGTTAGTGTTTGACTGTAGTGTGTAGTAGAGGTTAGTAATGATACCGATATTAATAGTGATTGATTGTAGTATGTAGTAAAGGTTAGTAACGATACAGATTTTGATAGTGTTTAACTGTATCAATATCTAGATTTTTCTGACGCCTGGGAACAAACAATTCGGTTGGCTCAAAAGAGTCTAAGATAGTTTTTCAGGCAATGTATCATAGGTTTCATCCTTGGGCGATGTTAAACATTTGGCAGAACCGCACCCATCACCAGTTCAGAATACTCAACCCTTAGCCATATACTTCTATCAAACGTTTTGGGGGTTTTGTATACGACTCTTCTTTAAGTGAGACAGAAAAGTAGGACGTTAAATTCCTTTCATCTCATTTCTTTAAGTGCAAATTAATAATACTGCCCAAATTTGCCACGAACTGTAATAGTGTGTTCAAGCTGGATACGCTTTATAATTATGAAGTTTTATCTAACTTTATCTAAATTTATCAATAATTGTGCCTTCTACAGAGTTTACTAGCTAAAGAACAAGTTATATTGTGAAAGGGGCATAGTTTGTTGATAATAAACAATTTCGTCCAAATCCATTAAGAATTGTGCATTCTTCTGTTTACGAGCTAAAAATTGAACTCGTTTCCAAGAACAAGGGCAATAACTCATAGATTTTTTTTACTTTCATAGGGCTCGTGATAGGGTAATAATAAACAATTTCTCAAAGTTTCGTCCAAATCATTGAGAATTGTGCCTACAAGCTACAGACTGAACACATTTCGGAAGACATGATCAATGCCTCATAACAATCAAAACATTGTAAATTTTATGATTTTTTGTAATTGCTTATTTGATTAGTATATTATCATATATTATTATAATCACTCATATGATAATATACTAATCAAAAAAGCAATTAGATGCTCAGTAGGAGGCTTTGTTATTTTCCTTGCACCAATAGTTCAAATATAGGAACAGCTGTCGATAAATCCTACGCATATCATCCGCCACATTGAGTATATTTCTAGCTTTAGTTTTGATGACTGAAGTATCGAGGTTCGCTTTGGTTCGTCGTTATGAAGGGCACCAGAAATCCTGTAACTCTATAATTCATCAAAAACAAAAGTTAGCCACACCCTACACCTCAGGGGATGAAAAGAAACGTGGCATGGAACGAGGAATATACAGTATTAAAGCTTGGAATTTAAAAATTCAATAAAAGTCTGTCAAAAATATAGCTTTAAAATGCATGTTATATAAACGAATTACAGACTAATAGACAGCTTGAATTTCACGCAATATGATTATAAACACACATTCCTTATGGTTCACATCATATAGTGATTGCAGAAAAGTTTTAGACTGTGAAATTTAGCGTCCAAAATGCCCGAAAACCATAGTCACCAATATTAAATAAATATTTTGAAATAAAATTTAGTTACCACGTTTTGTCTCTATAGACTAACATGGTGTCATTGACCTCATTTAACAAGTTACCACTCCGTGGTATATATAAGGGTACTTATGACTATTTACCACGCTTACCACGCCAGTGGTAAATAGCCACTGCCGTATTTCATCCTACGTAGCAAGTTTATAGAGAAAAGATGTTTCTAATATCTCTATAATTGTGAGGTCAAATTATGTTTGTCTTGGCTTTGATACTTTTTGAATAATTATGGAATGAAAAGCTTTGTCTAAATGTAGACATTTATTTTAACAGATGAGATAGCATACCTTACTTAATTGTTATATCGAACTAATCTTCACTGTAATTCTTATCTGAACTTAGATTGGGTTAAGCGCATTACTCTGTAGCTTCGGACAGTTCGTGTTTTTTTGCTTTTTTGTTTTTTACTTATGACTCTTTTCCCAAAAACATTAAATGCATTGATAAAGTAGATGATTATTTCACTGCAATTCTTGCCATTCTGTAAATAAGTGCCAACTGAAGTGCAACAATGTCTTTTTGCAGGATTATCATCAATAATTAAGCCCAAGATTAAGCATGGATATTGAATATTGGTCAAGGTCACAATCAGCTAAATGGGCCAAATGCCAATTCACTCGGAATAAATATAAGTATTTTTTTGGTGCTAGTTAAGATATAGTGTTTGGAGTGATAAAAATTAATACAAACAATTTTCTGTTTAATAGCAGAGACAGTAAAAATAGAATATGATATAATTAAACATGTTAATATATTAAAATGTTAAAACAGAATACACTAAACTAACGTGACTTTTGTATTGATCAAACTGAGTTTCATTTGAGTTGATGGCTTTTATTAATTGAACGTATCACATGTTCAGCTTGACTAGCAGATGAAACTATTGCTTTACATAGCTTATAATCTCTAGGATCCCCCCATCCTCCATAACCACTTACATTATTCACTGCGTTATTTATACGTTTGTCAAATATCAGTTTATGGGGAAACATAAACTCTTTATTTGTTCTTAAATACTTTGTTATTCGAGTTAATATTTCTTCAGAAGTGCACATACTGTGTTTATGGAAACCATGGCACTGTCCCACATGAAATATCCGACTAGCTTTTGGTTTCATAACTTTTAGACCTTTTATACAATCTGTTACGACTTTGTGTAAGCTCCAATCCCAATTATAGTCATCAAAGGAGCAGAAAATATCGATACAAGCCACAATTTGTTGCCACAATTCTCTGGTAAAGGCCATACCTCTTCCAACACCAGTAAACCAGTTATTAGATATAACAGACACATCACTATAACTTTCACCACTAAATATTTCATGATTTCCAAGAATAAACATATTTTCATCATGCTCCATGCTATGTTTTCGCATTAAAGTAATTATATGCAATATATCTGGGGCGAGGTAATAATCATTGTCTAAACGTAAAACCATACCTTTAAACTTCTGTAATATTTTAACGTTGTTAAACACAAAATGAATTTTCCACAACCAATGATGTTTCATCTGAGTGAATTTCGCTTCTCTATAATGCTTGAATTTATCAGGATTGTCTGCGTTATTGCACTTTATTTCTTTGGCTTTTTTCATTGATATATCTCTTGGGCAGTCATTTTTGGAATCGCCTGGGAAGCGACCATCGTAAAGCTGAATAGCATATGGGAAAAATATTTGCATCACAGGACAAAATTGAATGTCTTGAATAAGTTTATGGACCTCGGGTAAAACAACATCGTGACTAAAAACCACTAAAGTTTTTTCGATTCCTTTCACGCTTTTTAAAGAATCGATAAGAATCCTGAGGTCGCCCGGTCTTTTATGAACCTGGACAAGAATGACGACTCCAAACTCTGACAGATCAGGAGAAAAATGATTCCTGATCGTTTGTTGTTCGTTAGCAGTCTGAACGAATTTATTCAATTCCTCTTTATCGTTAATGTTAAACATAATTCCATTCCAGTTTATGGTATTGTCTTTAATTTGATTCGAAATTGGAAATGTGTGTGGCTTTGGTGAGGGAAGCTCTTTCAGGTCAACTTCTGTCATTTCCTTGATACTCTCGCCTCTTAATGCATAATGAATTGTTTTCGTGAACGTGTGAGATTTATTTTCTAAAATTAAGGTCATCGTACAAACAAAAACAATGGTCATTAATGCACATTGGTAAAAACGTTTTCTTCTCATGTACACCATTATTCGCCTATCCGTTGCGATATTAAGAACAATCTTTATTGCTGTAAAATGAAATTAAAAAATAACAAAAAACAAGAAAAGTCTATTAACTTATTGACATCATTGCAATTATTTCAATATCACCTATTAAAGTCAAGTTACCCCCCTCCCCCCCCCCCCTCCCCCGCCTACATATATTCAGTTTGTTTCTTAAGACGACTATAATTATGCTACATATTATAGTAAGGGGGAGAGAGATACTTCACACTTTGAAGTCCTTGAGCGTAATTGAAGAACGGAATTTAGTTTGGTCCAATCAGTTAGGTCACTAATATCAATTGGCTAACATAATATACCTCAGTTTCTTATTTGTAATGTTTAAGCCTAACTTGACTTGACTTAACAACTTTCACACAAAAAGTGAACAAAAAAAAATTCTTGGTCTCGATCAAAATGTCTATCAGCATTTGTCGGACTTCAAAGCATGGAAGATTTGACTTGAGGTCAGAGTAGCTAGTTACCGGCTGAGGAAGTAGTCTTATTGTGAACTAGGTGGAATAATAAACCCTGAAATTCATTTCAAAATATCTATAAATGTTCTTCATAAACCAGCATTAGGCTAAGTAAAAAAAGGTTGTTTGAGTTGTCTTTCCCTTCCTATCACGTGACATAGTAATCCGAGAAACCCCAAAGTTGTGAATTTTTTATATTGTTATTAAAGGATTTTCTGTTCTTATGGTTAGAAGGATTGATTTGTCTTAAAGTTTATATTCCTGGTTGCCATGGCAATTACCTGTTGCTATGGCAGATTTGCATCAATTATTTTTCGATTTCTGTGCTAGGCAAGGCTACAATTCCTAGTTTGGGGTATTTTTGACGGACTTGTTCGAATTTTGTACATTTCTAGACTATCAAAGACCCAAATCAAACCCTTGAAAATGGCGAACTTGTCCCTTTTAGCACAAATCAGCCAGGCATAGTACTTTTGGTACACCCTTATTTAGGCACTCATTTGAGCACAACGTTTTTTAGAGACAAAAAGGCACATATTCATATAGGCAACTTTTTAAAGGCTCATTCATATTTAGCATGATGTCATCTATAGTAATATTAGAACAGAACTCTGTCTAACTGACTTGTGCCTAAAATATTTGTGCCAAAATAAATATGTGTCTTAAAAGGGTGTGCCAAAAGTACTGTTTTGTACCTACAATATTTGTGCTTAAGAGATTGCATAATGTGTTGGTAGGTGAAGACTTAAAGTTATAGCTTTTAAGTTAAATGAAAAGAAATTGCCAGGGTATTTTTTTACTGGAACTTGTTGGAAGAATTGTTTTGTTTAGCCTTATATAATACAAATATTGGTCAGTGTATAAAACATTCTACTACTATCAGATTGGATGAGATCATGTAATTGAACAATTAATGGCAGTCAGTTAGGTGGAGGAATAATGACTTGAATTAAGAGAGCACCGATTTGTTCATCGATTTCAAAATGAGAAGAACAAACAAACGGTGAAAGATATGTCCCATGTAACTGCCTTAGAAGATCCAGGACGATAATTGCCGAGTAAGGTCGAGGTATTATGAACTTCGTCTTATATCATTGACCATTGTGAAGTTATCGGCATGACAAATATTTTACTTTTTATTTGTTTGGGATTAGAAATCAATTGATATAATTCTCACATGCCAGGACGTACAGTCTTTCTTTGATTGTCAATTATATCTTATCTTGTATACTGATAGCCGATATACGTAGGCCTTAATGTAAACTTTCTGTGACATTTAACATAGTGCGAGTAAACACTATCACGGTTAATAATAAAATACGCCCCTATATTCAATTGTATATGGAAGAATACGAAGAGAAGGATGTTTGATGTTCTAGTTTTCAGCATCTGAGTGGGTCACTATCATACCTTATAACCTTCAGTGCGCAACAAGTAAAATTCGCAACTATAGTGGCATTAGCAGATTCTTAATGATTTTCACCAATGTTCTTCTTCAGGGAATCGTGGACAATTATGTTGACAACAGAAAACGACATAGATCTGCAGACCTAAAACTTAACCATCGTTATAACAGACGAGTGCAGATCATCGGCGGAGCCAGCTTTAAATCCGAGGAGAGAGAGGCGTTGGGGAGGGTGAAAATATCTGAGGTTGCCCGAATTTTTAACCTAGTAATGAGAGTCTTCTCCGAAAAAATTGCCTTCGAGGTTCCGCTACTTGTGCAGATAGTTCCAGTGTATATCTTTAAGTGCATAAGTTTGAAAATATAGCTTTTCGTTAAAGCAAATTGCATTACAGGTTTTAATTCAAGTATATTATTGTTTGTCCATGTACTCTATATCTACATTATATATATAACTAACTTAGATAGGGTTTTTTCATACCGTTCTAAATAAACAGAAAACTTACTAAAACATTATTGATTCTCTGCCATTTTTTTAACAAGTTTATCCTTGCTTCATTTTGAACCCCTAAGACACATTATTTCCTCCCAACTCTACACTCTGTATAACGTATACCTCAGCTAGTTGATAACACTGTTTGTTTTGCGAAAGTAGATCTTTCATTTATAGGCTATCTCTATGTATAATAATGTGGTCAATATCACAATATTTAGTGTCTTATATAAACAGATAGCGTATAATTTAATGATTTCAAATATAGGCCTGTACATGTTTATGATATTGTGCTGTGGCCCTCGCGTACGCCGATAAATCAAATTTTACCGATTATATTTTTCATGTTCATCGGAAAATCAGTCTTTTGAAAAAATAGGCAATTTTTACTTATATTTGCTTTCCCTTATAGAAGACGACCAATATACACTTAATCTGCGTTTAATTTAAGCTCAAGTAGGATAACCATGCATGTAACTCAATAATCGACATAGATCAATTAATTACTCTAACAATCGTTTGTCCACATTTCAGGTAAATGTTTCTTTCATTTGGCAAATCCTGGCAGTTTCCGGAAAACTGAATCTGCCTCTGTTTCGCTGTGCCTTCTGGGGCGAGACTTTTACTTTGACGTGTTATCACTGGTTTGTCACGTGATTGTGATATAGCGAGGTAAAAACTGCCCATAATTTTGGAGCCTTTAGGGAAAATACTAACACTCACTTATGCATTAAATTCTACGGAGCCCCTAAGGCGCAATTGCAAACATATTTATATATTATTTCGTTTAAACCCTATGTTTATTTCGTTTAAACGAAATAATTAATTCGTTCAAACGAAATAATTATTTCATTTAAACGAAATAAAAAGATGGGTTAATTATTTCGTTTAAACGAAATCGACGAAAAAATTAAATAATAATTTATTTCATTTAAACGAAATAATTAATTCGTTTAAACGAAATAATTAATTCGTTTCGAAATAATTAATTCGTTTAAGAAATAACTATTTCGTTTAAACGAAATAATAATAAAAAGTGTTGAAAATTGCGCTAAAGGGGCTCCGTAAAATTCTATATACCAATTATACATTTTATTGCGTGGCAATCGATTAGTTTTGATAATACATGTACATTTGTACATGTATCGTGACAAGCTTATATTTTCAAATATTATCTCATCAAACAGATCGACTCTTTATTTTCTCGATTAATGATATTATGTGTACACAGACCAATTAGTGTTGGGATTTCGGAGAGTAGTTAATGATATGTCAAAAATTAGATTCTTAGTAATGCATTTTCTTTACAAACTGAGGGTGGGAAAAGGACAACGAAACCAATTACCCTCTCAGTTCCGGTAATTCCACTAAAACTAAGCGTTTTATGACGTCACTAATCAAGTTATATGGTATATCACATAAGGATTTCGCAATTATTGACGACATAAAACGCTTAGTTCTTGGGTCATATGATTTCAGGCAATTGCCCTATATTATACCGGAACTTTCTTTCGTAAAATAGAACCACAATGAGACAGTGTTTTGACAGATATTTCCCAAAAAACATGAATACGGCAACAGCTTTATTCAATAAATTGATCAATAAAATCAATAATATCTGCTAGCCTATTAAACATAGTAGCCTATGTGAATGTCAAAGTTTGATGTTTAATCTATTCATTAGAATAAATATTCTATATTCGTCATATGGTGTCGGAAAAGTATAGTAGGCCTATATAATAAAGAAAAACATGCAAATATTCAGTCAAGAAACATTTTGATTATAACTACACTGGTATGCAGCCTACTGAATTACTACTTGAAGATATGAGATATCACACACACTGATAGTCATTTACAAATGAAATGAATGGAGTTTTACGACATACTCTCTGCATCATATGGGTTAATTACGATGGACAGCGCCATGTAGAGTACAATAAGAGAAATTTTGGTATTAAGTTGGGTTTATACTTCTTACGCCGTTAAACGCTTTTATACGCTGGCAGACGGCGTTTAACGGCATCGATTAATACTTACAACGCCAGCGAGACACGCCGTATAACGCCGTTTGACGGCGTAACATTTTCCAGAGTTCAACTGTGTTGAGCTTTCCGGCGTTTACGCTAGCAAACGTCGACATTTCAACCAATCACAGGTGGCTATTGTAGAACACAGACAAGGAGTGATTCGGATCTTTTCTACAGACATGGACAACGTTGAAAACACAGATGAGTAGTTGATAATTGAGGTTGAAAAATTTAAGTGTTTGTACGTGACAACCCGGTCAGATTTTAAAGACCGGATGAAGAAAGAAACTGTCTGGCGAACCATTGGCGAGATGTTGGGTCGAGATGGTAAGTAT